ATCCCAGTCTATTTCTTTCTTTCTTTATATCTATCTATCTATCTATCTCAGTCTATTTCTTTCTTTCTTTATATCTATCTATCTATCTATCTATCTATCTATCTATCTATCTATCTATCTATCTATCTATCTATCTATCTTCTTTCTTTTATTTCTCTCTTCTTCTCATTTCTATCTATCTATCTATCATTCATCTATCTATCTATCTATCTATCTATCTATCTATCATCTATCCCAGTCTATTTCTTTCTTTCTTTATATCTATCTATCTATCTATCTCAGTCTATTTCTTTCTTTCTTTATATCTATCTATCTATCTATCTATCTATCTATCTATCTATCTATCTCAGTCTATTTCTTTCTTTATTTCTATCTATCTATCTCAGTCTATCTATCTATCTATCTATCTATCTATCTATCTATCTATCTATCTATCTATCCCAGTCTATTTCTTTCTTTCTTTATATCTATCTATCTATCTATCTCAGTCTATTTCTTTTCTTTCTTTATATCTATCTATCATCTATCTATCTATCTATCCTCTATCTATCTCATCTATTTCTTTCTTTATTTCTTTTCATTTCTATCTATCTATCTATCTATCTATCTATCTATCTATCTATCTATCTATCTATCTATCCCAGTCTATTTCTATCTATCTATCTATCTATCTATCTATCTATCTATCCTGTTGCCGGTTTGAATCTCGTTTCTGTTTATTCTGTGCTAGATATTGTTAGGAAAGGCAATTATTTCTGCATGTTTTTACTATTGCCTGATAATTTCAGAAAACATCTCGATTCATTAGATAGATAGATAGATAGATAGATAGATAGATAGATAGATAGATAGAGTGAGAGAGGGAGGAAGGGAAGGAGGGAGAAAGAGAGAAAGAGGGAGATAGAGTGCGTACGTGTGTGTGTGTACGTGCGTGTGCGTGTCTGTGTAGACAAATAAATACTTGGTGAACGAAGACATTTCAAGCAAGTGTTAAGAGGTTTCTTTTAAACTGTCTAAAATTTTCGTATTGCACGTGTCTGATTTTTTTTCCCTGTTTAATTGTTTTTGGGGAAAAAAAAGACCAAGTGAAATAGATGGCCCACCCCAAATTCAAGTTCTGAAAAAAAAAAAGATAAAAATGGTGAGAGGGAATCAGTTCTTTAATCCGTTGATAAGGTTATAAAATTAAAAGAATGAGACCACTGTGAATGGAAGAGTTATACAGCGAGAGGCGAGGAGAAGAAAGAAAGAAAGAAAGAAAGAAAGAAAGAAAGAAAGAAAAAAAGAAAGAAAGAATGGAAGGTGGTGAAGAGGGAAAAGAGGAAATAAATATGAAATAAAAGAGAAGGTAATAGAATAAGAAAGAAAGAAATAGAAAGAAAGAAAGAAATAGAAAGAAAAGAAAGAAAGAAAGAAAGAAAGAATGGAAGGTGGTGAAGAGGGAAAGAGGAAATAAATAAGAAAAAAAAGAGAAGGTAATAGAATAAGAAAGAAAGAAAGAAAGAAATAGAAAGGAAAGAAAGAAAGAAATATAAAGAAAAGAAAGAAAGGAAGAAATGGAAAAAAAGAAAGAAAGAAAGAAAGACAGAAAGAAAAGAAAGAAAGAAATAGAAAGAAAAGAACGAAAAAGAAAGAAAGAAAGAGAAAATAACATAATGAGATCATTAACAGAGCAATAAAGAAAGAAAGAAAGAAAGAAAGAAAGAAAGAAAGAAAGAAAGTGAGTGACAATAAGAAAAAATGGAAAAGTCGAGAAAGACAGAATGAAGGAATTTAAATGATTAGTAGAAAAAATTTGAAAGGTTTGGAAGGAAACATTAATAATATTTAGGCGATTATATAAACAGATTTAGAAGAAAGAAAGAAAGAAAGAAAGAAAGAAAGAAAGAAAGAACGTATGGAAATAGATATTTAAAAGAAAGTAAGAAGGGAGAACGAAAAGAAAGAGTCTTTAGAGAGAAAAGCAGAAAGAAAAACTATTTAAGCTATTTCAAAGAAATATTTGGGTGATAAAGAAAAAAATAATGAAAGAAAAAATAAGAAAGAAAAGAAATCCTTAAAAAAAATATTTAAAAAGGAACGATTTTCGAGATTAACATAGAAGGAAAGAACGAAAGAAAAGAAAGACCGAACGAAAGAAAAAAAGAAAAGCAAGAATTAAAGAAAACAAAATAAAAAACGAAAGACAGAAAGAAAGAAAATAAAATAAAGATTAAAAGAATAAAAGAAAGAAAGAAAGAAAGAAAGAAAGAAAGAAAGAAAGAAAGAGGAACGGAAGTGGGGTGAACATGGAAAAGAGGAAATAAATAAGAAATAAAAGAGAAGGTAATGGAATAAGAAAGAAAGAAAGAAAGAAAGAAAGAGGAACGGAAGTGGGGTGAACAGGGAAAAGAGGAAATAAATAAGAAATAAAGGAGAAGGTAATGAAGAAAGAAAGAAAGAAAGAAAGAAAGAAAGAAAGAAAGAAAGAGGAACGGACGGGGGGTGAACATGGAAAAGAGGAAATAAATAAGAAATAAAAGAGAAGGTAATGGAATAAGAAAGAAAGAAAGAAAGAAAGAAAGAAATGAAGGAATATGTCTTGAGAGAAAAACAGAAAGAAAAATATTTAAAAAGAAAGATTTATGAGATTAAGAAAGAAAAAAAGAAAGAAAAAAAGGAAGATTTAAGAGATTAAAGGAAAAACAACTGGGAAGGTAAATAGATAATGAAAGAAAAATAAGAAAGAAATATTTAAGTGGTAGGGAAAGAAAGAATAGAGAAACGAAAATGAAGAAAGATTTTAAAAGATTTGTGAGATAGTAGAAAAAAAAATAACCCGATGTAACGAGAAAAACTCAAGCAACACACAAAAAAGCAACTAGAATAATAAATAGTGGGCGATGGAATTAAAGAAATGGAAAAAGCGATGAAAGTCGTACTTTTTTTAAATGAAGAAGCGCATCAAAATGGAGTCTGTTTGTTTTAAAGCGAATTAAAAAAAAATGGCCGAAAATAGAAAGTTAAGATAAGAAGAATCTAAATTGAACGACCGAATAAAAAAAATCTCACATTTGAAAAATGAATTAAAAAAAGATTCTTTCTTTCTTTCTTTCTTTCTTTCTTTCTTTCTTTCTAACATGCATTTTTACAACAGCGCGTTGTTGTCGTTGTTGTTGTTGTGTCTGTAATTGTTTTGTCATCGTTGCGTTTGATGTTGATACGGCAGATCCGCCCATATCATTTTTTTTAGTGTGTCTGGCTTATATATAATAACGGGGGTTGAACATCCAAACATCCCCTTCTGTTTGTCTCAAGTTCCTTGATAAAATCCAAGAGACGGATATGCAATGTAATTGGCCCTGATCTGGCATCTCGTCTATAGTCGCTCTCTCACAGACGTGCCGTCGCCTCCCTCTGTCTTTTTTACAAATACTTTCACGGTAACTGCTTCGATGAGCTGCTTTCGCTGGTTCCCAGACTTCATGAATTTAAGCGTTCAACTAGGCTGGCATCGCGCTCTCACTCTTTCACTGTCGAAACTATTAAATGTAGCCGTCTCTTCTACACCAATAGCTTCATGTCTCGCACCTCTCGCTTGTGGAACTCCCTCCCCTTTTTCTGTTTCCCTGATAGCTATAATCTCCAACTATTTAAATGTAATGTCAATCGACATCACTAGATGCCTTGATCTATCCCCTATCCTTCTCTTCATCCTTTCCTCTATCACTCCTATTTGCTCTAGCTCCAACTGTCTGTAAACCCTTGCGTGCTAGTGGTTTCCCGCCTTGCTTGGGGTGAAACGCTTAAAAACAACAACAAAAAAAAAAAAAAAAAAAAAAAACAAGGAATGCCTCAGGAGGGGGGATTTTTGCCAACGTTCCCACCCGCCGAAATGACAAACTAATACCATATTTGAGACTGAACCCGCTCGCGCGGGGTCTAGGCAAATTTTGACCAGTGACCTGAGCTTCCGCGCTCGGGTTCCACCCACGTCACCATCAACTCTGACCTTGTGTCGTATCCCGCCTCAGTAAATATTTCTCCAAACAAGAGATATGGTCATTAGGACATGTACAGAGGCTTGTCGTCACACACATGCGCCCGCAAGAACGCTTCATAAGTCAAGCGCCCCACGAGGCTGGCATCCGCTCTCACCCTTTCACTGTCGAAAATCTTAAATGTAGCCGTCTCTTCTACTCCAATAGCTTCATATCTCGCACCTCTCGCCTGTGGAACTCTCTTCCCTATTCCTGTTTCCCTGATAGCTATAATCTCCAACTATTCAAATGTAATGTCAATCGACATCTCCAGTTGCCTAGATCTATCCACTAACTCCTCATTCTTTTCTCTATCATTCCTATCAGCCCTCGCTTCAAATCCTCTGTAACCCCTTGCGTGCTAGTGGCTCCTCGCCTTGCTTGGGGTGAAACGCTTAAAAAAAGAAAAAAAGTAAAACCTTCGACTTATTTAGGCTCAAAGTACAACGGGTACCTGGGAGCACAATACCACCGACGGTTAGACCAAGTTTTCAGCTACGAAACGTGTCTCTTCGCTGTCTGGTGGTCTTTTTCATCCCAAGCGAACCTCATGGCGCATTAAACACAACATAGACGACTACATAGCATTTCTGATTAACTAGGCTTATATGATTTTCATTATTTTGGCTAAGATGAAATGTGTGTTGGGGTGATATCGTTTTTACTTTGGCTTCTGTTTTAAGTAGCTCTTTACACGATTATAGCCCAGTAGAACTATAGCCTAATACAGGCGAAAACAGACTTCTTTATATCAAGAGAGAGAGAGAGAGAGAGTGTGTGTGTGGGGGGAGAGATAGAAGGAGAGAGAAAGAGAGCGTGAAAGAAATAGAAAGAGAAAGAGAGATAGAAAGACAGAAGGAAAGATAGGGAGGGAAAAGAGCGATTCAGATTAATACAACAAAGAAAGATTTCGTGTTTACAGATACACATACAGACATATCCATCTTGTGTAGGCGTGTCTGTTGATAGTGGAACTTTCATTACCTAATATACCCCCACACCATGACGAACAGGGGTCTTTCAGCTTAGTTTATAGCGACCAGGGTTAGGGGTGAGAGTTACCCGTCGCTTCTAATACACATCTATATAACTCGTGACGCTTAAAAGGTCATTCTTTCTCTCTCTCTCTCTCTCTCTCTCTTCTCTCTTTCACACACACACACACACACACACACACACACACATATATATATATATATATATATATATATATATATATATATATATATACTTTATTTTAGGATATTACATTAAAAACATGTAAAAACGCTACACAAATGCAATCATGTTTCGACACATCTCATCAGGAGTTAGTAAATAACTGGGAAGTGGAATATTTCCTTTTGTATTGGGTCCTCTTTTAAATTGAATGTTACGAACGTTGGAATTGGATTCTCATTTCATTTCATACATACATACATAAATACATACATACTTACATATATATATATATATATATATATATATATATATATGAAATGGACAAAGTCCGACAATTAATTTTTAAGACATTTTTATGTTTATACGTTCTTTTTTTATAGATGCAAATATTTAAGTAAATGCTCTGTTTATAACAAATTTTATTTAGTTTTATTTAGTAAATATGTTTATAATAAATAATTTGTCCATTTCATAACGTATGACGTCATTTGTTTACATTTGGATAGGCATTGAGCAGATATGAATGAATGAGAGAAAATCATGGAGAATTGTGTTTAAAAACAGTAAATTCGACCTTGCAACCGAAAAGCTCCTCTGTGGCTCAATCGGTTAAGGCACGTCAGGCTATAAGACGGTTCCGTATGAGATACAGGTTCGATTCCTGCCGGAAGACGCATAATTTCTATGAAAATTTTCTCGGACATTCAAGCCGATAAATGTTGTTAATACTGTTTATTATAAACAGAGCATTTACTTAAATATCTGTATATATAAAAAGAACGTATAAATATATATATATATTAATGCATGTTACATTAAATAGTATAGACAAGTTTTGTCTATTATTCTAAGTAAGTTCCTTTCATATTGTCTGATAAGCTTAAGAACATTATCATTGAAAGACGAAAGGAAATCACCATATTGATACATGTTTAAATCCAATCTAAGCTTTCGGCTTACATAAGCCATCATCAAAGATGACAATTACATTTCAATATATCAACCAATACACGGAACAATAATGATAGTCTGTTTTTGTTGCATGAAAAATTGCAAAGCAACGACAAACTCGTGTATACGAGACGCGGAAGTGAAATCGCGTTGCTGCTCGTGACGTCACACATGACCATGCGAGAGTGAAAATGAGAAGTATTAAGTATGGGAAGCCGTTGGTATAAACCAATGGCTTCTGTTATCAACTATAGACATTTAAGAATATAGTTGATAACCGAAGCCATTGGTTTTCCGTGTCTGCTAACAGTGCCGTGCCATCTGCATATCTTATGCTGTTAAGATTGTGGCCGCCAATAGTAAATCCTGGTAGGTTTTCCAGTTCTCTCAGAATTGTTTCGCTGTATAGGTTGAACAGGTCCGGTGAGAAGACGCATCCTTGTCTTACGACCCTTTCTATTCGCTGAACTCATTCCCTATGCGCATGCATGCTGTTTGCTGCCAGTATAGGTTCTTGATTATTCTGATATCTTTTCTAAATATGTCAAGGCTGCTGAGCAGTTCCAGCAGATCTTTGTGGCGTATTTTGTCGAAGGGCTTTGCATAGTCTATGAAACATAGATACACGTCCTTCTGCATCTATATCGCACTTTCTGATAACATAGAGATTGATAATAACACATAACCAACCATTTTAGACAAATTCTATTTTGAATCATTCGGAAATTTTGTAGAAGATATAGGGGTTTTTGTTTTATTTTGAATTGAAAACAGATAGGATAATAAGAATCCTTTGTTGTCCACCAAACAGAAGACCATTAAAATTGATCATACACTGGAGTGTTTGTTCCCATTTTCATTCTATCGCGATAGTTATGCCTCTGAATAAACCTATTATTATCTGAATAATTTGTATTGTTCTATTTCATATCTGTGCTCAGTAAATCTATCAATCTCAAGTGCTTCTTTCATTGAATCGCAGATACACGAACTTTGTACTTTAAAAAAATAGGACACAGAATCCAGAAAACGTTTGAAGAATATGACAAATAGAAAACCCTTTCATTCAAACTAAATTACCCCTTTCGTCCTTTCCAGACTTTATCAGATCAAAAAACGAAAGAAAAAATATATGTATGGGTTTTTGTCTGTATGCTTAAATAATAAATCGTTAGTACTTTTTTTCTCACTAAGCTGGCATTTCGCGGAATGGAAAAAAGAATGAAATTATGCGACTTTTGTAAAAAAAGAAAAAAAAAATATTATCTTTATAGTGATTTCCCAAACGTAGCTTAGATGTGGCACAAGGCCGAAAGTAGGGGGCCCCCAGTGAGGATCGAACTCACTACTAATTGTTCTAGCGAGACAAGCTTGCTAACCATTACACCACCTCGAGGTGCCCTTGTCTTTTCTTTCTGCATTGAATGTCAGGTAAATCTTCATCCTATTTTCAGAATGGCGCCAAAGCAAACAATTCCTATCGCCTTTTTCTGAAATGAATTTAAAGTAAATCTTTATCCAGTTTTACGGAATGGGTTGAAAGTAAAAGATTTATATATATTTAGGTCTGTCCTTGTGTTTTCCGTGCGGACAACATGTGTATAAAATAAGATGTAGAATCTAAAGTTTGAAGAATCCGTTTCATTGAAACTAGATTACGCGTTTCGCCCTTACTAGGCTTCATCAGATCAAAAACGAAAGAAAAATAATCTATGAATTTATGCATGCTTAAATAATAAATCGCCAGCATTTTTTCCACTATGCTACGTTTCTGGAAGGAAAGAATAAAATTGTGCGACTTTTGTAAAAAAAAAAAAAAAAAAAAAAAGCCGCTTTTTTTTTTTTTTAAATAATTTTCTTGTTTTTGTTGACATTTATTTATACATTCTCTCAGTTTTTCTGTATTGAATGCAAGGTAAATTCTCATTCTATCTGTACTTAATTATTGTACTTTTATTTGAACTTTTATACTTAATTCATTGTACTTTTATTTGAACTTTTATATTTAATTTATTGTACTTTTATTTGAACTTTTATTTGTACTTTATACTCAATCGTCGTTCAAGTTAGTTCAGCGTATTTTAAACATTTCCCCCAAACGTCGAAATTAACGAAGTTCAAAATTTAGTTTCTTTGGGCTTTCAAATACAATCCTCCAAAATTGCAAGCATCGGAATTAAGTATTTATTAACATTGGTCTTTCAAAAGCAGTTCAAAATCTTGCAACTAGCGTAGTTCAAAATTTAGTAACACTGAAATCTAATCTCCTATAGTTGCAAGTAACGAACTTCAAAATTTAGTTGCTGTCTTTAAAAGTAACCCCTAAAAAGTTTGCAAATTTATAATTTACTAGCGATGGGCTTTTAAAAGTAGTCCCAAATAACACAAGTTGCGAGATTAACCCTGCATTAATCTCTTTAGATTTCCGAAATTAGATAGTCCCCTGGGGTGCTTACACACCCCAATACAAAAATGTTTATACTGTTACAATTATGTAAATCTAGAATGTGTTTGCAACACGCTGATGCGCGTTGAAATCGTCATAGTATTTTGTATTGTTGAAGTTATCGCTAACAATTTGTCGATATTTACAAACTCGACGTCTCGTTCAATTTCGCAAACCAGTCGTTGACATTTGAATAACGTGATTTGTTTGGAAAAATACTTTGACTAAACTCCTACTTTAAATTAATTTAATTTTATATGACTTCATGGTAAACAATATTTATAAGAATTTTTTTTTTTTTTCCTTTTTAACAGAGAAGAATAATTTTTTAGGATTTCTTACTCTTGAGCATGCAACATACAACTGGCCATGCGGAAATATTTCATTCTGGAGCCAAATTCCAACTTTTTGAAGCGTTTGGCCTAGGGATTTGTTTATAGTTCTCGCAAACTCAGGGCGAACTTGAAACTAGATTATTATATATAAGACAAAATTAAAACAGTGAGTGAGAAAGAGAATGATAATGTTTTTGAGTAGCTTGTAATGACGTTAGTGTAATGGAGATATACATTCATAGGATAGGTTTGTGCTGAGATATTAGCCTTGTATGTAGTTCGGTTGGGACAAAAGAGTCTGTTCAGCTATTGAAGGGAAACGAGACACGTCTTGTCACTAGGGCCTCCTGTGATTGAATTGTAAAACAAGAAAGACCAAAGTCGGAGCCTTTTCCTCTTATACTGCTTTATCAATCTCTCCTGTGAGTACCAGTCTTTCCAAACAGTCCTTCCTCAATATGTCCCCCAGAAATTTCAACTGTCTCTTCCTGATGTACGTTTGTCCTAAACCCTGTTCTGTCATCTAAATATGTTATGCGATTTTTTACTCTGCCCCAATTGTCTTTAATCTGCCCTGTGTGTATCACATTTTCTAAGCCCTTTTTTCTCATTATACGCCCTAGAAAATTCATTTTTGTGCCCATTTTCTCTAAAACCTCGTCGATTGCTCATATGATCGGTCCATGGTATCCTCAGCATATGTGTATAGGACCATATTTCTGTTACTTCAAGTTTCTTCTGAGTATCAGATTTCCCAAACCCTCTTTCCTCATTATGTGCCCTATCCTTGTAACATTAACTTTCTCTTCTTGGTGTTAAGAATAAGCTTCCTTTTTGTTTCTTTAAAACTTCATCGTTGTTTATATATTCGGTCCATGGTCTCCTCAGCAGATCTTCACTAGAACGAAATCTCTGTTGCTTCAAGTCTTTTCGTCGTTCATTGTCCATCATTCACGGCCATAATCTAACAGAAAACGCCATTTTTATCTGGGTAATTACGCAGCGCTTGAAGCTGATCTAGAAGGCAGTCTCAATTTTTTAAAATGGCTCCCTCTTACTCTCCTTTTCATTGTTGTTGCCCAGCATGC